TCAGGAGAGGGAGGAGGAGCAGCTGAAGGAGGAGATGGCCCAACGGGAGGCGCTTGCCAAACGGGAGCGCGAGCTGCGGATGCAGGAGTTTGAGACCATGCGGGCCTCGCAGCGGGAGACCATCTACAAGCTCATTGCCATGCAAGAAGCCGAGGTTGCAGTCGGGGATGCCGATGATGCGCTCGACGGCGAGGATCTGACCGTCGACGCCATCCGCCACTCAGCTAACGTATCCAAGCGCAAGCGCCGCGCCATCGAGCGCCATGGCCTCCCGCCGGCTCGGATGACGACGCCGGCGTTTGTAGTCGAGGCCGAGGCTGCCGCTGCATCGGCCGTCCGCGCCCTCGCTGACGCCGACGGCGAGCTCGTCGCCGCCCGGCTCGCCTTCAAAAAGGCTCGGCAGCTTGAGGCCGCCGCCAAATCCAAAGACGACGACATTCGCAGCGCCAAGGCGCGGGTGGCGCACTCGGCCCGTTCGCTCGACAACGCGCTCGACGTCTCGGCCATGCTCAAGGAAGAGCTTGCGCTCCGCAAGAAGCTCGCCGCCAAGCTGAATGCCAAGGCCGAGCCGGCTGCCGGCCGCTCGCCGGCTACTCCGATGTCGGGCTCGACCGGTGCCTCGGACGTTCTGCGCGCCATCGAATTGCGCTCGCCGCCGTCGCCGTACGCGCAGCGCGGAGGCAGTGGCGCCCCGCCGCCCGACACTGCCGCAGCCACCCCGGGCCCTGCCAGCAGTGCCGACGCCAGCGCATCCGACGCCGACAGCGAGCTCAACGCCGCCCAGCTTGCGCTCGGCGGCGATGCCTCGACGCCGCACCGGAGCCGAAGCACACAGAAGCGGCGCACCGAGGGGCTTGGCCGCCGCCGCCGCGCGCAAAGCGCGCAGGGCATGAACGCAAGCAGAAGCAAGCCAGGCCGCAGGAAGCGCCGCGGTTCGCAGTCCGGTGGCCTGTTAGTGTACTCGGATGGGCAGCGCGAACTCGTCGAGGCCCGTAAGAGCGAGACCCGTGCGTTGCTCGAGATCGAGGCCGTCGCCCGTGACACTGTCCGCATGAACGATCTGCTCGTTCGCGAGCAGCGGCTAACCGCCAAAGCCAAGGCCAAGGTCGAGAAGACCAAGGCCACGCTGGTGGCCATGCAGGCCAAGGCCGATGCCATGGACAAGGAAGAAGCTGACATGCAGCGCAAGATAGTGCTCCTCAATCGTGAGCTGAAGTCGCTGGCAACCCGCCTCGAGGCCAAGACCCGGGTGGCGCTTGCCGAGCTCGAGAAGAAGCTCTCGTTTGAGCAGGATCAGGCCGTCAACCAGGCAGCTCGCGCCGGTGCCGAGCAGGCAGAGTTGCTTCGGACGTCGCCCGAGGCGCTCGGCGCGCTTCGTTCCAAGGCTCACGATGCCGTCGAGCTGCTTGTCACGCTCAAGGCGACTCGGAGCCAGCTGAAAGAAGAGATCAGGGAGTGCCGGGTCCAGCGGCGCGAGCTGGACGTGTGACAAGGCATTGCGTTCAACATGTTTAACGGGTTAAAAGTCATACTCGGGTGGCGTCGACATCGAGTACGCCGACGTCGGGCCTGAGGAGCAGCAGCGGAGCTTGCTGCAGAGTGAGCTCACGCCCTGCGCAAACGGCGAGTCCGGCGCGCGGCGCACAATGACCAGTACCGCGACGAGAGTCACGACCAGCGCAACAGCGATCGAGGCGCCGACAACGGCGCCCGAGCTCGTGTTCTTCGACTTGCTACCGCCAACAGGCTGGGTCGCGCCACCCGTCGACGAGCCCGAGCCCGACGCAGAGGTCGAACCCGAGCCCGAGCCGGAGGTGGTGGTGCCCGAGCCGGAGGTGGTGGTGCCCGAGCCAGAGCCAGAGCCCGAACCACCGGTTGTTGCTGACGGGAGATCAAAGTCGAGAGCAAGAGGAAGCGCGGCGAGCGAGCGAGCCATTGCAGTCAGCTCCTTGGCCGGCACATTGTGGTTGGATGAGAGGTGGCGCTTGGACTTGACGACGGCGAGGGCGGTGTCGTACGCAGAGTACGCCCCGGTGAGGGTCAGGTAGAGAGCGGCGACAGTGACGGAGCGCGACTGGCCCGAGTGGCAGTGGACGAGCACGTTCTGGACGGGCTGGGGATACTTTGCAGCATCATCCGACTTGAGGCCGACCCGCGGCTGCATGTAGGTGTGGAGGGCGAGGATGGCGGCAGCCATGGCCTGTGGCGGGTTGCCCGGGCCGTCGACGAGGCCGACCTTCTCGTACTGAATCTGGTTGAGGTGCTCGTCGTCGTCATCCACATTGCCCGTATAGTCCTCCAGCCGATACCGGATGTCCAGATCCCAGGCCACATTGAGCACAGCAGTGATGCTATTCGCACGGAGTTGCTGCGTATCGCCTGCCGAGTGCTGGTTGCCCACCCACAGGCCCGGTGCCACCTTGTCCATGGACCCGTCCACACAGCTCCCGCACGCAAAGACAAAGCCCACCACAGCAGCAAGCACCACAACACGATGACGGATGCCCATGCTGTTATCGAGAGTGAGGTGTGCCTACGGCTGCGGTGGAGACAGAGGCTCGGGCCGTGTGTGGCAACCCCCCCCCCGTTTGGGGAAAGGGTGGCGCGTGTGACGTACCGCTGTGTTCCTTGATTGGCCGTGTGACTCCGGGTGAGGGGGGTGATCATTGGGCTGGAGTCAATAGCGGTGCGACGGCCTGGTTCGGGCGGGGGTGGGGGGGTGGGGTGGGGGGGGGGGGGGGGGTATGCGCGGCATGGAAGGGCAATGACGGTGGGGGGTATGGGGATGTGGTCTCGACTTATCATCTCCAGATCCTAGCAGGTGGGCGACGACGACGACGACGGGCACACCTTGGGTGCTTGATTCTTACCTTGATGTCGGGTGTATGCGAGCGCGCGGGGGGCAGCTCATGTCCATGCGAGTGACAGCACGATGTGATGGCAAAGAGGGTCAGGTCATCGAGCCAGCGGAGCGACCGCTCGGCCGGCAAGCGAGTGTGTTGGTGTCGGTATCGCTGTTGTTGTGGCTGCCGTGGCTGGCTAGCGGCTACATCCGCCAGCGGCCGGTGGTCAGCGGTCGGCAGATGGGGCTGCCGGTTGGGATTGGGATAGGCAAGTGGGACAGCGATTGGGGTTGATGTGATGTGATGATGATAAATCGGAGTATGCAGTGGGGTATGTGAGGCGGAGTAGGATGTTGGGGATGGGCGAGATGGTCACCACCGATGGCCGCCGCCGCCGCCGCCGCCGCCGTCGTAGATCGTCGTAGATCGTCGTAGATCGTCATTGTCGTCGTCGTAGATCGTCATCAATGGGTGGGTGGGTGTGTTCCTACTCCTCCGGAGCCGACTGTCTCGACACCGTCAGCCACTTGGCTTTGCTCCGTCAGTCGCGAGTGCTAGCGACTGGCAGCAGTCGCAAGCAAGTGAGGCAACACTCGACGTGGAGGCCACCCCACAACAAGTCACCACCTGCGAGGGATAGAGAGAGAGAGAGAGAGAGAGAGTACGGTGGGGAAGGGAGGGAATGTCCGGACCACAGGCCCCAACACCGCCACCGCCACCGGCCCTCATTCCCATACCCTCGCCCATAGTGACAGCAGCCGGAGGAGGAGGAGGAGGAGGGACGACCGACACCACCGCCAACACCGCCACCACCACCACCACAACAACAACAACAACCACCATCACCACCACCACCACTGCAACAGCAGCAGCAGCACCTACACCCGTACCTGTCCCCGCCCCCGCCCCAAAACCTGCGCCGGTGCCCACCCCAGTCCCTGCCCCTGCCTCGGCTTTGGGCTCTGCTGCCACTCCTCGACCCGCCGGCTCGGTCAAGTCGTCGGCGACGGGCAAGCAGATGCTGCGCAAGTCAGCCCTGCCTGCCAACAAGGTCAAGACTCTGGCTCCGGCTCTGGCGGCATACGTCGAGGCGCATGCAAAGGACATGGGCTTGTCGTCAACGGCTACCGCGAGGACTTTTTGGAGATGGTTGAGGCGGCTGCATGCCGGCGTGCTGGGCGTGGTCGAGTCGGGCGCCGCGGGCGATGGCCTCCCGCTGCTGGTTGTCCGCGGCCCGCCAGAGTGGGATCCCAACGGGACTGCCGGTCTCCTTGCGCTCTTTGCCGCCGATGACGCGCTCAAGGCGTATGTCGACAACATCGCGGCCTCGCGCGGTCTCTCGGGCTCGGAAGAGTATGGCCTGTGGATGTGTCTCTGCAAGCTGCACGCCTTTCTGGCCTCGGCGCTCGACTCGCCGGCAGCCAAGGCTTGGGGCTCCATCGAGCTGGCGTCGTGTGAGCGGAACGCGGTGACCACCCCGCGCGTCGCCGGCTCGCTGGCCGAGCTCGGTACCCATCTCGCCAATCTCCGCGGCGCCTACTACGCTCGCGCCACAAACTCGGCCCGCAAGTCGGCCCGCCGCCGCCGCCGCCAGGCCTCTCCGACCACTGCTAGCACCGATGCCGAGTCCAAGCCGCTGCGTTCCGCCACCATGCCCCCGCCGCAGCCCGGCAGCCTACTCCCGCCGCAGCCCGGCAACCTCACTCCACCGGTCCCAGTCCCGGTCCCGGTTCAGCCGCTGCCGCGGCCGGCACAGCTACCGAGCGGCAAGCGCAAGCGCTCGAGCTCACCGGCCACGCCGACGCTGCCGGTTAAGCGCAAGGCCTCGGCGTCCAAGAGCCGCAAAACAGGACGGAAGAAGAAGCGCTCCAGCTCGCGCGGCAAGGCCTCGGCGTCGACTGTCGACGCGCTGTCAGCGGGAGACATGCTCGAGGCCGAGGAGCAAGTCCTCTACGTGCTCGCCCTCCTCACCCGGCTCGTGCCCATCTACGAAGCCATGGTCGTCGAGCTCGCGGATCGCCTCGACACTCTTGGTGCTGACCTCCCACACATCGGCGTCGCCGACCTCGCTGTTCTTCCCAAGGTCTACACCAAGACTCGCTACGCCTTTCGCTACTGCACCGGCGTCGTCCTCCTCGCGCTCACCGTCCATGGGCGCGTGGCGACGCCCATCACGCTCCTTGTCAACAAGCTGACCATCGACGACGTCGACGCTGCGGTCGCGTCTGCGCGGGCGGCACCTGACGGCGTCGGCACCATTGTCATCGGCACCACGCCGTCGCCTTCGCTCTGCGTCGCCCCGCTTCACGTCCTCATCATGCTCCAGTGGTACTACCGTTACGTCCGCCCGCTCGCACTAATTTCTAAGCGGCTACCAGCCTCGTCGGCCAAGCTCTCGTCGAGCGACGAGTCGGCCAAAGCTGCGGCGGCGGTCGACACTGCCCGCCATGTCTTTCCGCTCCTGGCTGTCGGCGGGCTCGATGCCTTTCGCTCCGGCCGTGCTGCCCGCGACTGCGTCACCGACGCGCTCAAGACCGTCCAAAAGGGCTCATTGCCGTTCCTTCCCGACAAGGCCGTCACCTTTCAGCTGTGGACTCGGCGGATTGAGGCGTTGCTCGCCTCGCTTGACCCGCCGTACGTCCCGCAACTCCGCCCGTCGACGGGCAAGCCGGTTGTCCTCCGCATGAGCGAGCCCGAGATCCGCGCCGCGGCGAGAACCGACTTTGATGCCCTCGCCGGCCTGTACGCCCGGGTCCTTGCCCCCGACCGCGGCGCGCAACTTCTGGCTCGGACCGCCGCCCGCGCCGGGCCGCCGCCGGACGAGGACAGCGTAGAACCGCCCGAGCCGCCAGCCGTCGCACATCCGTCGCACATGACGTCGCTCGCCACACTCTCGGGCCTCTCGGCCACTCTGCTCGCGGACCCGACGCTGACGTCGGCCGCAGCAAGAGTCGCCGCCACTGTGGTCGACCCGCGGTTCAAGACCAAGCGCGCGTCCGGCCACCGGCACTGGGCCGAGGCTGACGACGCCATGCTCCTTGACGCACTCCGTGCCCGCTCCATCACCACTGCCCAGCCCGACGTTCTCATCCCTTGGAACGAGATCGCCGCTGAGCTCGCCGGAAAGCTTGTGCCCGCGCGCTCAGCCTCGTCGATGAAGGCCCGCTTCCACAACCTATGCAAAAAGGCGGCCGCCACAGTCAAGGCCGCGCTTGCCCGCAAGATCGAGCCGCCACCGCCGGCACCAAAGTCTCCGCTTCATCCGCCGCCTCCAGTTGCCGCTGCCGACCCACCGCCTCCGCGACCAGTCTCGCCAGAGCTGCCTCGCCAGCCGTCCCCGCCCGCCCGCCCTCTTGCACCGGTCTCTAATCGCCCCATTGCCGTTGCTAGCATCGCGCCACACGACGGCGCAAGCCGGCAGATTGGAGATCTGCATCTCCGCCCAGCGCTTGCTGTTGGGACTCCTGTCGCTGGCACCGCTGTTTCCCGCGTGAGCCACCCCAGTCACCACAGATGTCGCGTCGGAAGTGGTAGCGATGGCGGCGGCGACGACGATGACGGCGACGCTGACGACGACGATGACGACGACGAAGACGAGGAGATCTCAGTCGTCGACGTCGTTTCGACGTCGGCGCCCAGACTCGCGCCAATGGCCATGCCGCTCAGCCTCGACCTCGCGCCCCCACATCCAGTGCCGATGCCACTTGCCGAGCCGCCTGTGGTCCCCGCACCTGCGCCTGCACCTGCGCCTGCACCTGCACCTGCGCCTGCGCCCGCACCCGTTGCCGCCGCTGTTCCGGCGCCGGTGTCTGCACCCGCACCCGCACCAGCCGCCGTCTCGCGCCTCGCGGACGCCCAAGACGTATCACGCAAGCGCCCGCGCGAGTCAGAAGCACTGCTACAGGTCGCCCAAGTCGGGCAGCCACCGTCGCTCGGATCGCCGCTGGTCTCGACCGGCCCGCCGCTCAAGAAGTTCAAGGTGGGCGTGGCGCGGACGGCGCCGCCGCCTCCGGTCAGCACGAGCATCGAGTTTGCCGATGAGGACGAGGATGACGAAGATGAGGACATCGATGTGGTCGGCATTTAAGCACTGGCAAATGCTTGCTCACGGGTAAAAGCGAGCTAATTGATCGAGGTGTAGCTGTTATCGCGCTTGACGAGGCCAGCGAGCGTGGCGAAGAACGCCACGGTCGAGGAGGCAGAGGCAAACGCCACCAGGCCAAACATGTAATCGATTTTCGGCCTGTAGTTGGAAGGCAGATCAGACGAGTCGACGCCATCCAACTCGGACGAGTTGATGACGAGGTGGTAGTACGCAGCCCACGCGCCAGTGGTACCGGCGGCAGCAATGGCAGCCCCAACCGCAGCAGCGGCCAGCGCCGCACGCCCGGCCCATCTCATCGAGAACAGCAGGCCCGGGACAAACGACAGCCCCGCGCCTACTGCGCCGACAATGCACAGGGCGAGCGTCACACGGCCGCCGTGATAGTACGGCTTGTCGTCAGAGGTGTACTTGGTGCACGAGTTCGTTTCGCCGCCGTCGGAAAAGATCTGGATGCAGAACTCGCGCAGTCCGATCGAAAAGTTGTAGACGGCGATGGAGGGCTGGACCGAGAGCGAGAGCCACCCGGTGGAGAAGCATGCCCAAATGCAGATGCCGATGACAGGCAGAAGGATGCCTGCGGCCAACGAGGCCATCCAAGTGGGAGAATTCCGGCTTGCGCTTTCTGTACGGTGCCGAGCCAAAGAAATGGGTGAGTGGCATGTCCGGCCCACGTGGACACATTTTGGAGGCAACACTGACTCGACACATGGATATGTCTCGCCATCGCATCCCCTATGGTCATCGCCTTTGCCTATGTGTAGCAAGTCTTTGAGAAAGCAGTACACATGAAGGACAATTGCTACGTCTTGGGCTGATGTATGTGATAACAGCCATCGCAGAGCGCGTAGCCGCCGGGGTTGGGCAACTGGGCGTCTGTCCCGTGGACGGAGCAAGACCAGTGTTGGGAGGGAGGGGGAAGGGCGGATCGACTGCGAGGATGCGGGGATGTCCACTCTCACTCTTCCTGTGGCAACCACCATACGCACCCATTGTGTTATGTGTCGTGTGTGTCTCTGACTAGCAGTTCTCGGGAGAACGACAGAGGGATGAGTGGAGAGAGGTTGGTGCTCAGGCTGGCAAAAGTCGCTCATCTTTATCTCGCAACTAGCACACGCGGACTGGACTCGGTGCTTCGAATGAGGAGATCACATGCAAAGCCACGGGAATGTGGCACTTGCATGTGCGCAAGGAATGAAGTCTCCGAACCACTGATTGTAAATGATGAAACAGGGCCTGCCACAACCTCCTAGTGGTATGTATATATGTAGTCGCGGGGGGGGGGGGGGGGGGGTAGGTGGTCGGCGGAGAAAGAGCCCGTGCATAGAGATCTGGCTTAAAGTATGGTATGGGCCACGCTCTTGGCTTGTACCTCCCGTGGCACCTGGACTGCAAGCCTACTGGACGTGGAGGTGATGTAGACTGTTGCTGTAGTAGTCCGTATCGATAGCAACTGTTGACTTGCATGCAGTGACTCTTGTCGTGGCGTTCGCCAGCGAAACGTCACAATTGTCCGCTGCCACTGTGAAAGCGATACCGCCGTGCTAGTGCGACTTGGGGAAGACAGTGCGACTTGGGCAGATACAGACACACTCAACTCGTCGACAGCACCCACCCACCAACAAGCCTGCCCACAGCCACCGGCATCCACCTTTATCCTATGTCAGGCTCGGGTGCGGGCAAGAAGCGCAAGGCGCCGGGAGACCCGGCGGACGACACGGCGCGCAACGTCAAGTCACGTCCGCTCGGCAGCGCCAGCAGTGACCAGCCGGACCTGGAGGCGTGGGCAAGCGTGCTGGAGGAGGCGAACGAGGCGCTGGTGGTTGTCCGCGCAGATGAGCTCGACGACGACAGCATCACCGCTGCCACGCGATCCCTGGAAACGGCAGGCGTGGTCGTCATCACCGACATCTCGCGCGAGACCCAGGGCGCGGTTCTTGCCGGCCTTGCGCACGCCTTTGATGCCATGTTCGGCCACACCGAAGGCTACCTCGAGCTGCAAGAGACGCTGTCCGGAAATCTGGCCGCTGTCGACGCCGCGGCCAAAGGCGAGGCCAAGGTTGATGCCGCCTGCATCGCGCTCCGCAATCAGGTCAAAACCCGTCGCGCTGCCGAGGGTCACTGCATAGCGTCGTTTTCGTACTTGCGGACCGCCCGGCCCAAGCCGAAGCACAGGCTGGTTGCCTCTGCGCCCGGCGAGTGGATTCATGGCGTCGAGCTCCACCACTCTGCCGCCTACCGCCTCGCCTTTGCTCGCCTCTATGCCGAGCCCGGTCTCCACGCGGCTGTCATGGCGATGACTGGTGGCGACATGGTCTCGCTTGACTCGGGCATGGTCCGCTGTCGCGAATCTGGCGTCGATCGCAAGACCGTCGCCAAGTGCACAGTCGACCACACTGACATGTACACCACCGGTGTCCGGCGGGTCCAAGCTATCTTTTACGCCGCCGACCCCGGCAACATCCACCTCGGCTTTGTTCCCGGCTCGCACCGCCTCGTCGCGCCAGGCAAAGCTTTCTCGGTCCCGTCGATCCTCAAGTCCAAGGCCTCCTCCGCCCGCGCCCTCATCGCCCGGCACATGATCGCTGGACCGGAGCGCTCGCTCGTCCTCTTTGTCCAGGGCGTCGTCCACGGGGAGCATGTCTTTGCCGACCGCGACCATCGCGACCTCTGGGTGGCGCCGTCGGTGGACAATCCGAAGCTCCCGGCCAAGGGCGTCCTCACCGCCCGCCTCGCGTGTGGCGTCCAGGCGGCTTCCTACACCCAGGAGGAGCGCCGCGCCCTTGCCGCCTTTCTGGCCCACGATCTCAAGCCCGAGTCGCTTGGTACCGCCAACAAGCACCACCCGACCATCCACGCCAACACCGTCGATCGTGCGTCAACCCAGTACTATCCAGACGTGAAGCCGTCGCCTCGGGCACGCGCTGCGATGGCTGCAGTCGACATGGACGCCTCTGTCGATCCCGATCTCGCCCGGCTCCTCGGCATCGCCATCATCAACTCGCAGGCAGCAGCTGGCACGGAAGCTTCGGACTTGCCCTCTTCTCCCGCGCCACCAACACCTCCTTCACCCGCGCCCACACCGACGCCTCGTACGTGACAACAGCCCGCGCACAAGCAACCTCTTCCCGCATCCTCGCTACGTCGCTGTCACTCAGGGCGTCGACCGTGGCGATGAGCTCGTCAATGGCCGCAGCTGGCGTAAGGTGCACAGCAAAGCCGCTGTAGTCCCAGATCTCGTCAAACATGTGCCGCCGCGAGTCGTCGACAATGACAGGGACGCAGCCGACAGCCATCGCCATTGCCAGCCGGATTCCCCATCCACCGCTCTTGCCTGGCGGCGCGAGACACGTCCGCGCCTCTCGCATCTTCTTGTCAAAGCCCTCCACAAACTTGCGGTGAACGGCGTAGTCGGCGGGGTCGGCGCCCGCCCGCTCGACAGCGGCGAGCGCAGCCGCACGCCCATTGCCGCGCGCAATCGGCCACGTAGCGGTCGACGTGATCGAGCCAGAAAAGAAGATCTTGGGCGAGACCGGCGTTGACGGCAGTGGAACGATGCCGGCAAACTCGGTCTTGGGATACGGCGGGATGACAATGTCGCGACCGGGCCGGAACGCGCCCTGGCTAAAGGGCGAGTAGCTACCAGCCTCGAGACCCGAGTTGACGAGAAAGACCGAGACCTTGGCCGCTGCCGGAATGCGCCCGCTTGCGCCGGCCTCGCGGCCAAAGTAGACGGCCGCTCCGGCGTCGTCGACCATCGGCAGCCAGACGAGCGCGGCATCGCCTGCCTCGCACCGCGCTATTGCGCGCGGATAAGCGGTTGCGACGAAATCGAGCACATCGTCGCGACGGTACCAGCGGTCGCCGGCGCTGGGAATGAGCACCACGTCAGCATTTTCCGCGTCGTCGACCAGACACTGGGTCTCGGCGAGGGCCTGCTCATAGACGGCGGCCGGCGTCGGCCGGCCAAAGTCGAGCGCCCGGCCAAACGAGCCCATCCGCCATGAGATGGCGTACGCGCCAGGGAGACTTGCAACGAACACCTTGGCTCGACAACTGTCTACGCTTACCTCTCTGCCCCGGCCGCAGTCATCGCCCCAGCGACCGGGCCGGCAGACACAGCGACCAGCGATGCACTCGCCACCGGCCGGTCCGTGGCACCCGTTGAGGCAGTCGATGGCGACATGCGCAACATCGCACGTCTCGCCGGTCCAGCCGCTAAAGCAGCTGCATTCCGGGCCTTTCACACATAGCCCGTGCCCTGAGCACTCGTCCACGCACTCGCTCAGTGCGATGAGCGGAACGACTGTCCCGGGCGGTGCTGGTGCCAGCGGCCAGTCGGCGCGGCCGGTGGCATCGACCTGGGGCCACATCCCATCCACAGCCATTTGCGGCACCGTCTCTGGTGCAACCAGCAGGCGTCCGTCGGTAACATGCTTCGCCTTCAGAGCGAGGCAAGATCGTGGACGGACGCCCGGCCAGTACATGTCGTAGTCGGCCGCGATCCCCGGGTGGTGCTGCTCCAGCCAGGCAGTACACGCGCGGAAGCAGGCGCACGGCAGCGGCGCGCCCTTTCTAAGGACCACTACGTCAGAGCAAGGCACATACCATCCGTGATGCGGATGAAAGCGACTGCGATTGAGTCCTGCGCTCGTTGGCGAGTCAATGCTTCCTGGAGCAGCAAGGAGGCACTCTGGCAGAAAGGCCTCTGCGCAGGAACGCGAGTAGGTAGGAGCGGTGGCATTAGGCAATCGGGTAGCACAGACACAGTAAGCTCGACTGAGGTCATGCGAAGATCTCCACACTACATGACCATGAGGACAGACAAGGCCACTACCAGCAGCAGCAATATCCCCATCAGCACCATCAGCGGGCGATGGACGACGAATGCGATGCTGGCTGGCAGAGGCACGAGGACGAGGCCGGGTGAGCGGATAGAGGGCGAACCAGAGTGCAGTAGCCGCTACCAATGCCGCGCATGTCACCAGCAATATACGCCGATGTAGGGAGGGTGGTAGCATGGAGGTGGCGGGGGATAGTTGGCCAAAGGAGAGAGAGAGTGTGTGGGTGAGGAGGGGGACGGGGGAGGGGGGGGGGGGGGGAAAGGGGGGGAAAGGGGGAGGAAGGGGGAGGAAGGGGGAGGAAGGGCTGATCAAGTGGCCGTCACCCGCACCGCGGACCGAACACACGCACACACACACACACACATACACACACACATACATACATACATACACATCACCTCTCCTCTCCTCTCTCTTCTATCTCCCCACCACTACCACCACTACCACCACTACCACCACACACACTCTCTCTCTATCTCTATTCCCCTTCCTCCTTCCCCTCACCCATGTCCTCCTCTGAGACCACCCCCCACTGGGTTCTCCAGCAGAAGAAGGTACGCCCCCCTCCCCCCCCCCCCCCCCCCTCAACCCCTTCCCCATACACACACACTCATCACCGTCATCCGCACATATAGGCATTCCGTGCATGGGTTGACTCGCAGATCGCAGAGCGGGGACTGAAGCTGCCAGGTGAGGTGGATGAGGCCTTTGAGGATGGACTTTATCTGCTGCCGCTGGCCGAGGTGGTGAGCCAGGACAAGGCTCCCAAGCATGTCAAGAAGCCCCGCATGCGGATCCAGAAGATCGAAAACTGCTCGTTGGCCCTGGGCCTGCTCGTCAAGCACGGCTTCAAGCCCGATGTGGCGCCGGAGAACTTTGTTGATAAGGATACCGTCCTCGTCATGGGCTTCATCTGGCAGCTGTTCGTCACCTGGGTCGGTGGCCAGGGCGACAAGTCGGGCGGCAAGGCCTCGGCTGACGATCTCCTCAAGTGGGTCCAGTCGCGGGTTCAGGACAACGAACGCTACCCGGGCGTGCCGGTCGACAACTTCTCCACCCATTGGCAGGACGGCAAGCTTGTCTCTGCTCTCCTCGACTCGCTCTCGCCCAAGATCCTCGACTACGAGTCGGCTGCCCTCGACGATCCCGTGAGCGCCTGGTCTGCCGCCCTCGATGCTGCCGAAGACTGGCTCGACGTGCCGCAGGTTCTTGACGCCGACGACATGGTTGTCGACAAGCCCGATGACAAGTCGGTCCGCATGCAGGTCGAGCTCATCCGCCAGGCCTACCTTGCTCTCCAAGACGACGTCGACTCGGGTGCCCTCTTCCCAGACGACACCCCGGTCGAGGCTGATGCTCCTGCCGTCACCGACGCCGCCGAAACTGCTGCTCCGCCGCCGCGCCGCCGCAAGCGCAAGGACCCGCGCGACGACATCTCGCGCGACGAGCTCATCGACACCCTCCTCGACATGTACTCCAAGATCAACTCAGACTGTCTCGCCTGCCCCGAGTGCGCCACAGACCTCACCCAGTGGGCCGCTGACCACAATGCGCGCGTCCCTGAACTCCCGGCGCCACAGCAGTAGCCGCCTACCCTGGGCACGGTGGCGTAAACACGTCGCCGTCACCCTTTACTCGGTTGCGTACTGGTTGTCAGATTAGCGCGGTGGGGATGATGTGTGCTACACTCGATGGGATCGAGCCACAGTCGCGGCAGTGAGTCAAGGTAGTACAGGTGCGGCCTTGTTGTCGTCGCTTACACGCTGTCGTATACTCAGCGTCTCAGCGTCGTCCGCATCGCCTCGTCAAGCGCACCCCCCCACCACCCCCCACCCAACACACACACTAAAAAAGATTCTTGTTCGCACCGTCCAACCGCCGCCCCAGATACCACTCCCCCCATCCCGCAACGCACAGAGCCAGCCACCCCCCCCCCAGCCCTGCCAACCCTCCCACCTCACCCCCGCTCTCCGCCACCCCTCTGTCGCCGAGCAACATGGAGTGGATCCCTACACTCGCGTGCGCTACAGGCGCATCCCTGGCGTACCTGACGCTCCCTCGGTCCGGCCCGACCTCGGCAGGCTCTGTCCTCCCGCTGCTTGCCCTCGCCACTACGGCTGCCGTCACCGCCATCCATGCTCATGCTGTGGAGCTGACCACCGTTCCCAACCTGGCTCTGGCTCTCCGTGCTGATCCTGGCTACTCTCTCGCTTCTCTGCTGGCTATCTGGGCATTTGTCTTTGCTGTGGCTGGCGCTCCGCTCGCCGCCATCACCACCTCGGCCAAGCCTGCTGCCCTGCTGGCTCAGATCCCGCTGGCCCTGGCCACTGCTGCTCGCGATGTCATGGCCGTGGCTGCGGGTAGCACCACCCTTGTCTGGGCCCCGCACGTTCTCGGCGCTGCCATTGCTGCCTTTGCAGGCCGCTCGCCTGCCGGCGCCTGGGCTCACATGGCCTGGCTGGCTCTGGCCCAGCTCTGGCTGCTCGGCTGCGGCTGCGGCGCCGACGCGGTGAGCTCGGTTTCGCTCGACGCGTCGAACCGCGATGCATTTGCTATCCTTGTTCTCCTCGGTGCTGCCATGATTGTGCTCCGCCTGCGGCTCCACGTCGACGACGATGAGATCACGGCCGTCCAGAAGCTTGCCGAGATGGGCTCGGCCGAGGCGTACCTGGACGAGGCAACTGCCAAGCTCACGTACAACGAAGCACTGTTTCAGGTCGTGGCACCGGCGTACGACTTTATCACCAAGGCGCTGTCGTTTGGGCAGGACGCCTCGTGGAAGAAGGCGCTCATTTCCGATGTGTCAGCGGCAGTCGCAGAGCTCGCGGAGCGCGACGAGGGCGACGAGGTTCTCCGCGTCGTCGACGTTGCGTGCGGGACCGGCGACGTGACGTTTGCGCTGGCCAAGGCGTTTCCGGGCGCCGACGTGGTGGGGACTGACCTCTCGGGCCGTATGCTCGATCTGGCGGCCGAGCGCGCCGACGGTGAGGATCTCGACAACGTGTACTTTGTGCAGTCGGACATGTGCCACATGCCGTTTGAGGACGGCGCAGTCGATCTCGTGACCGGCTCGTACGCACTCCGCAACGCACCGTCTATCATGGAGGCGCTGGAGGAGACCAACCGTGTGCTGCGCGTCGGCGGCGTGGCGGCGTGGCTCGACTTTTGCAAGCCCGACTTTGCTCCGCTCGCCTGGGCCTACTACTACCTCCTCCTGCTCTGGGGCGGCCTCTGGGGCGTCCTGGTTCATGGCTCGCCGGATGTCTACGGCTACATCGCCCGCTCGCTCGATGCGTACCCGACCGAGACGGAGCTCGCTGTCATGCTCGAGTTTACCGGCTACCAGGTCATCTCGTCCAAGCGCTACTTCTTTGGCTTTATCGCTGTCAACATTGTGCAGAAGCTAGTCGACGGCGACCTGCTCAACCTGGTTGATGCCGATACCGATGACGAGCTCGACGTCGCCCGCTCGACGTCGGACGACGAGGACGACGGAGCCGCCGACGACGAGGAGTACTCGGACGAGGACGGCGACGTGGTTCTGCGCGAGTAAAACATAGTTGCCCCTCAGTGCGCTACATGGATGCCGACCGTCGGGTCGGCGTCGTCGCCGACGGCTGCGACGACCACGACCTCGTCGCCGGGCGCGACAAGGCCGAGCGACTTGCCGAACGCGACGCCCGATGCGCGCATCGCGTCCAACGGCGCCGGCGCAACAACTACCGGAAACACGCCTTTGGAGACGTTGAGCTGGCGCGCGACCCGCGCGTCGTCGGTCACCGCCACAATCGGAACCTCGGGCCGAAAGCGAGCGACGTCGCGGGCGGTTCCGCCCGACGCCGAGAGAACGACAATGACCGGGGACTGGATGCGGGCTGCAGCGTCGGTGGCGGCCGACGCGATGGCATCGCGGGTCGCGTCCTTGTGGTGATCACCGACGCTCACCAGCACGTCTTCGTACGCGGCGTGGCGTCCGCGGATGCTTGCGCCGAGCTCGCCGTGGTCGATGACCGCCTCGGCCTCCTGGCATACCTTGCCCATGATCTGGACCGCAGCCTGCGGATAGGCACCAACTGCAGTCTCGCCCGAGAGCATGACGGCGTCCGCGCCGTCGACGACGGCGTTGCCGACGTCCGACACCTCGGCCCGCGTCGGGCGCGGGTTCTTCACCATCGACTCGAGCATCTGAGTCGCCACAATTGCCGGCTTGCCGGCGAGTACGCACTTGGCCAGCATCGACTTTTGCGCGAGAAACACCTTGGACGCCGGAACCTCGATGCCGAGATCGCCACGTGCCACCATGATCCCGTCCGAAGCTGCCAGGATCTCGTCAAAGTTGAGCACGCCCTCCCAGTTCTCGATCTTGGCCATGACCATGATGTGCGCGCCGGCAGGGCCGAGCGCCGTACGGATGTCCGCAATGTCGGCTGCCGAGCGAATGAACGAGCCAAAGACAATGTCCATGTCCTGCTCCACAGCAAACGCCAGGTCCGCCGCATCGCGCTCCGACACCGCCGGCAGTGATAGCGAGGCGCCCGGCAAGTTGATCCCCTTGCCTGAGCCAAGCATGCCGCCGTTGACCACTTTAGCATCGACCGCGCCCTCACCTGGGTGCAGGCCGGTCACCGTCAGCTCGATGAGCCCGTCGTCGACAAACACGGTCTGGCCCTCGCTCACCTCGTTGGCAAAGTCTGGGTAGTCGAGAAAGAGCCTGCTTGCCGTACACGAGGTAGCAAACTGCGGATCGGTGGTGATCTCGACGGTGGAGCCGCCAACAAGCTCGACCGCCTTTGCGCCGTCGGCCACAGCGCCCGTTCGGATCTCGGGACCCTTGGTGTCGGCAGCAATGGCGCAGAGATCCTCGCACGAGCCGTCGTCAAAGTCGACGTCACTCCGAGCATTGCGATCCAGCTCGGCACGCAAAGTAGCAATGGCCTTTGCCTTGTCCTCGTAGCTGCCGTGCGAAAAGTTGAGCCGCATCACGTTCATCCCAGCATCCAGCAGGGAGGAGATGCCCGAGGCATCCCAGGTGGCCGGACCAACGGTGCAGATGACCTTGGTCTTGCGGTCACGCGAGTGCGGATGACGGACGTCCAAGTCAACAAGCTTGCTCAGCGAAGACACGCTACGTTGGACAATGCCTGCATGCTGCCGGAGGCCGATGTTGATGCATGTGCGGAACATGGCTCGGCTGTACGGGTGCTGGGTAGTGGTGCGTGGTGTCGGGAGGGGGGGCGACAGGTGCTGTCGAACAAATCGACAGACCGAGATTACTGAACGTGGATGAGGGCTCGCGGCCGGGGAGGGGAACGGGCGAGGGGGGGGAGGCTGGTGATTTGGAGAAGCTAGACATCGGCCTGGACAACGGGCTAGGCATCGGGCTAAACACTAGCCTGGGCATCGGGATAGTTCTCGACCCGGGCATCGGGATAGCCATCGGCTTGGGCATCGGCGGCCAAGAAACGGCCTTCGCGTACGACCCAAGCAAAGGCGCAAGCAGCATAGGCCTCGTCATGCACCACGACACATATCGGACGTATGTTGCATGTCGGACCGGTGCCAGCTCTTGGTCATCACTAGGGACAAGACCGAGGGCAGTGCCATGGGCATGTGGGAAGAGGCCGACCGCGCCTAACCCCAGAAGCCAACTACGCCACCCGGTCCAACGACCAGCATCGTCGCTGCGGACAGCTGCTAACCGCCCCCGCCATTCTCACTACAACAGCGGAAGGTCGAACCACGAGAGATCGGGGTAGTACTCGTCCCGGACGCCAGTGTTGGTGAAGCCGCCAACCACAAAGACCCGTACAAACTCGCCGCAGCTCACGGTTGCCACCGCGTGCTGGAACCGTCTTCCTGGTGCGCGAGAGCTGCCTCGGCCCACCGCCCGCCACATCGCCGGCGACACGTTGGTGTTGAGCTCGTACACGTCGTTGTGTGGGCCGTCGTCGAGGTAGTCGTCCACAACGTTGCCACCAAACACGATCGTGCGCTCCAGCGGTCCCACGTACGCCGCACCGAGGTCAAAACGCGGGCGGAAGCCATCGCCAGTTACAGAAAGCTGTTCCCACGTCATGCTCAGCAGATCCAATGAGTACACGTCGCCGTAGTAAAAGACGTCGTCGAACGGCGACTGATGCCGTCCGCCGATGATGACGAGCGCCTCGCTCGCTGCGTCAAACACTCCAGTTGCCCCGCGCAGCGTTGGCGGCCGGATCCCACCGGCATTGATTTTGATCCAAGCCACACCGGTCGCACACCCGCCGTCAGCACGTCCCACAAGGACCGCAACCCGAACGTCGCGGTAGAACCGCGAGTCGATCTCGTCCGGCCAGCATGTCCCGCCAAACAGCACAGCGCATCCATCGCGTGCACGAACCTCAAGTCCGACACTTTCCAGTTTGGCCAAAGTATCCGGATCCATCAATGCCAGCACCGCCGCCAACACATCAGTGTGCGTACCCGGCACCGCCACCATCACTCCTTCGGCCCGCTGATGCGGCTCAGCGCCGTACCGCGCCAGCTCTTGCCACTTGCGCTTGCCGACATCAAACAGCCATGTATCATTAAGGTACACATCGTCATCGGCATCGTCATCAAAGTATGTTCCCCCAAACAGCAGCACCTTGTCATCGCCCAAGCTCGCCATGTGGCCATGACCACGCCCGCAAGGTCGCGGCCTTTGCTCGCCCGTCGATCCAACCCCACCCGCGATACCATCCTCTCTGCCACTATCGTTGTCGCTACCGCTGTCGCTGCCAGCAGAGACTCTGTCATCAAAGCCTTCCTTCACCGCCCACCCGTCTATCACCACCATCGTGTCGCGGGCCGCCTCATCGCCGTCCCACTCTTGCTCGGCCGGCGCGGTCTGAAAGAAGCCGCCAAACACGCATACATACTTTCCCACAGTTGCCGTACACACCCCGCGTGCAGCTAGTCCGGCATACTTTCCTCCCTCGCTCGGGCGTCCGTGATGCCACTGTATCTCGCTGTAGCCTGTTGCTTTTGCCATGCCCGCCGCGTCGAGTCGAGTCGGGTGTTGACACTCACCGGCCGCTCGACCGACTGCTGCTTCTCGCGGCACACGAGCTCCAAGGCCGGACTGGCATGATCAATGGCGCGACAGGTGCGACTTGCCTTCTTTTAGGCTAGAAGAGGCGAGTACTCGGTGGCATCGTTGACGTGTGTCCCGCCAATGTCGTCGACAGGCGAGCGGAGGGTGGTGTACGCCGCGTTGCGGGTGTGCATGGTGTGCATGGAGCGCTGGTGAAAGTGGGTGAGCTTAACCACCAGCGCGTCGCGAGCCTGGACAAGGAGCTGCTCGCGATCGCCCTCGGAAAAGTCGCGCTTGATGAGTTCGCGTGACCAGCGGCGCCGACGGCGGACCTTGATCGAGCCAGTCTCGTCTCCAAGGAGGAAGCTCTGCGAGTTCATCTCGGGGTTGTCGACAGTCCGGGTAAAGGCCTCAATGAGGAGCGAGACGAGGAGATCGACCAGGAGGGTGGTGACAAGCGTCCAGAGCGAGATAAAGTACCACGAAGTGTACGGGTTTCCCGTCGAGTAGGCAGCGTAGCGGGCGATCTCGTTAAAGTTGTTGGTGGCAAGGACCTGGAAGCATGTGAGCAGGGCCCGCCCAAAGTCGTTAAAGTTGGCCTCCTCGTTGTCGTACGGCGGGTTAGCCGGCTTGTCGAACCGCCCGGCAAAGAGCTCCATACCGATGATGGCGTACGAGTAGAGGAGGAGGCAGACGACGACAAGGAGCGAGAAGATGATCGAGCCAGACTGCTTGACCGAGGCCAGGAACGAGTCAAACCGCTCGTCGATGCCGAGCATCTTGGCGATGAGCCCGTTGTGCCGCTGGCGGACGTTCCACAGCGAGAGAAGGAGGAAGCACGTGACATTGTAAAAGTGCGGGACCCAGCCGGCCTTGTAGCAGATGTACAAGATCCAGGTCGTGCCGATGACAAACGTGTCCCACAGGTTGAACGCCGACGACTTGAACGTCGAGTATCCGAGTCCGCAGAGCTTGATGGCGAGAACAAGAGTAAAGAAGATGACAAAGATGAGGAGCAGGTAGGCGACAAAGTTGGGCAGTGTGTCCTCGACGTAAACAAGATGCAGGATGGCATTGACTATGATGGCGGCCTTGTACACGTACTCCAGGGGCTTGCCGATGGCGACGAGGTAGAGAAGGGCAAGCGGGACGCCGATGACCGACGCCACCTTGTCCCACATCCGCTGCCACAGGTCGCGCTCCGGCAGGCGCTCAAACTTCCACGTCAGCATGTCGGCGAGCATGGTGAACTCGTCGACGTTGAGCTCGCCGTCGCCGTCGGTGTCGAGCAGCGCAAACATGAGCCGCGACTGCTCCGGGTCGAGGTCGGGCCGGATGACTCTCAGCAAGTCCTCCCACTCGGAGACATCGACAAAGCCTGAGTTGTCGCGGTCAATGCAGTGAAAGGCGAGCATGAGGTTGCGCTTCTCCTTGACCAGCGACGACACAATGTGGCTGCGGTGCTCCTCCGAGTAGGCGTCAAAAACGACGGCCAGAAGGAGTGCCATGAGCACGAAATGGACGCAGATGAACGACATAAAGTACGCCGACGCGTACTGCGAGACGTCAAACGCCGGGTACATAATCATCGGGTAATTCTCGGTGGTGATGAGGAAAAAGAGCGAGAGCATGGCCGCCGACCACGTGTTAAAGTCGCCGGCCGGGATCTCATCCTCGCGGTAGCTGTACTGGCCCTGAAAGAGCATAACGCCGAGGTGCGCGTAACAAGCGGTAATGACAAAGAAAATGAGCCCGACGCCGAGCACCGCCGGCATCGACTTGACGATAAGCGAGAACGTCTGCCGCAGGCGCCGCGACTGCGCGATGAGTAGAAGCGGTCGTGCCGCCCGCGAAAACCGGAACGAGCTGACCCGCGAGAGCCGGAAAATGATGTCCAGGCCATTGATGCAGACCACAGCTGCATTGACCGAATTCCACGGCTCCTTAAAGTGCGAGAGGCCAAACGGATACGCCCGGATCCACACATCCAGAAGCTGGATAAAGACCGAAAACGAGCCGATGATGACCTCGGCAAGAAACTGCTTGTGGTTGTCCTCCGCCGTCCGCCGCGACGCCGGCTCGATGAGCACGAGGCCGAGCTGGAGAAGGATATTGAGCCGGATGAACCACAGGTACATCCAGTTCTTGCGGAGCAGGTACAAATTGCGCTGGAACCGCGTGAGACCGCCGAGCTGCACCTTGCGCTCGGTCAGCGCCACATCAATGTAGTGTGCTGCCCGAGCCAGAGCCTCCTCTTTCGAGTCGACCAACAGCGCCTCGTGAAGCCGCGAGTCAAGCCGGGCTGTTGATAGATATAACGTTCCGGTATCAGACCATAGTCAAGAAAGAGAGGGAGAGATAGACAGATAGAGCCATCGCCGTCCAGGTTCCCGCCACCGCCGCCACCCCGCGCGCCACCCGCGCGCCAACCACGACCCACACACGCACATACACACACATACACACACACGCACACACACGCACACACATATACACACACATATATACACACACATAAGTCACATGTACTCCATCCCCCTTCCTCTCTCTCTCTCCCTACCCCCCCCCCCCCCTCGACCTGGGGCACGGGCTCACGTGACTCGTGCCATTGCACCATGACATGCGTACCCTTCTCAGCTCTCAAACGATCATGATCATCAAGCCATTGCTTGTTCTTGAGAACAGAGCGAACGTCCTTGAGCGATGATGCCGTGGTCATCCGTGCTTGCCCTCCTTGTGGGAAGGAGAGCCGGACGTTGCCTGTATCAGAGGCATGTCGGAGGAGACCAGGTTGTCCAGCTTGCCCAGCTTGCCCAGCTTGCCCAGCTTGCCCAGCTCGTCCAGCTTGGCCACCACCATGACCATACTCTCCGTCATGACTTCTGGAACTGCTGTTGGACGGTGTGCTGGGAATGGATTCAGAGTCTGCGTTGTGCAGGTCAAGCACGTTGGGCATGGCCTCCACCTTGACTCGCTCTCTGTCGCTGAGCACGGGCTCGTCGAAAGAGTGAGCTGTGGCCGGTTCGGGGCTCACTGGCGTTGGGCAAGACTCGGCAGGAGAGACGGGCGGTCGGGGCAAGCAGACGCGGCAGAGCTTTCCCAGCTAAGTTTGTGTGTGTGTGTGTGTGCGTGTGTGTGTACTCAAAGAGGAGGATCAAAGCCGAGGACGCTCTCGGCAAAGTCAGCAGCAGTCATGTTGGCGCCAAGAACCTCCTCGATGTCGCGATCGGCCACAAGCGCAGCCAGGCACTCGAGGAGCTCCTGCTCGTTCATGGCCTCGCCGCGCGATTGCAAAAAGGTGAACAGCCGCTCGCGCTGGAGGAGGCCGGTCACCTGCTCCGCGCCGAGCGCGTCAAACGCGGCAGCAATCTGCGCATGACCGACGTTGAAGACCGGCCGATGGTTGACGTAGATCATGATGAGCTCCTCAAAGTCAAGGTGCGTCCGGATTCGCTGCGTCACGTCCCACTGCGAGTACTTGACCTGGTTGATCATGTTGTCGACCTGGTGCTCGGTTGGATAAAAGCCGAGTGCCCGCATGATGTCTGGCAAACGGTCGACGTGGACATGGTTGTCGACGTCGCGCTCCTCGGTGGTGTTCTCACCCTGCGTCAGGATCTGGGCATAGTAAAAGTAGTCCTTGATGTCCTCGTAGAACGGGCCGTCCTTTCCGCCCTCGATTAGAGCTGCATATGGGTCCACACCCTCGCCGCCGAGCGCTGCCTGCACGTCGAGCGCCTCGGTGTGCACGCCCCATTGGTTGACCGCCAGGTCGTCGCCGCCGGCAGAGAACACATACTTGCCGTCTGACGACACTGCCAGTGCTGTCACCGCGCCGGGCTGCGCAATGAGACCCATCGCCTTGTTCGGGTTGCCGTCCAGCGGCAACTTGAGCAGGCCGATGACCTTTTCCGGCGTCGCGTACGCCGCGTACCGCGGAAGCCCCGACCGCGACGGCAGCGGCGCGAGCGCGTTGACAGGCAGCCCGTACGTCGGCGCCAGGTACGTCGATCGCACTGCAGGCTGGCGCTCGCTCGTCAGCACCTTGAACTTGTACTCTGAGTCTGCAACCACATACGAGTTGTTGTGGTGCCACCAGAGCGCCGTCGGCACCGCCGTCTCCTCGATCTTGGTCGCCGCCAGAATCGCCACGCCGCCGGTCACGCTCGAGTTGGCCAGGTCGTACTCGACAAGGTGCCGATCTGCACCGAGTGAAATGAGCCGCGGCGCGTCGTCCTTGCCCACCCCAAACGCGAGGCCCACAATCTGCGCATAGTGTGACCGGAACCGGCCCACATACTCGTACGCCGCCTCGACTTCCGAGACCGGCGGCAGCTCTGGCCGCTCGATGCCCGCTGCCGCCGCAAGCACGCCTGCCGACGACGAGACAAAAATCCCGCCGCTGCCACTACCACCGACAGCCGTTGTCGACGCCACAAGGTCCGCCGCCTCGCTCGCCGCTGAGGCCGCCGCTGCCGCCACCGCCGCTGCATAAACCTTGGAGTTGGTTTTGGCCTTGGAGAGGGTCGCCTGGGTTGCTTCCGTCGCGCGGAAAATCGCAACGCAGTTGTCGGCGTCGGCGGCCGCCAGATATGTGGAGCACTCGGAGAAGGCGAGGTGGAGAACCGCGCCCTTGGAGGTGGTAAAGTGGCCCTTGGGTGTGAGCGCAAGCGTCGCCCCGTCGAGCACGTTGACCGCCCCGGTCGCCGAGCCGACAACCAGAAACAGGCCGGTCGGGTCGTACACCACCGCCTGAAGATGCGCGCCGGGCGGCTCAGCACCCTCAATCTCACCAAGATCGCCGCCAGGCCCGGCCTCGGCTTCGGCAGCCTCCATCTTGGCCACCCAGTTGGGGTCCTCGTCGATGACCCGCGAGACGACCAGCGCTTTGGCCTCGTAGTCAAAGACCTGCAGCAGCGACGAGGCACCAGTGATGGCCAGCAGCGGCGCCGCGGGGCTCGTCGCCAGCGCAAGCACCGCGTCGTTGTGTGCCTCAATGAGGACCGTCGACTGGTCCTCGGGCATCACGCCGAGCTGGCCAAACTTGGACGCGTGGACCTGGAGAACCAAGCCGTCGGCGGTGCCAACCAGAAAGTCAGCGGCCTTGAGCTCCTCGTCAAGTGCCTCGCCCACGCTCTTGTGGGCGCCGACAAGCGCCCGCCGCGGCGGTGCCGGCACCGAGCCCGGCCGCCACCCGGCGCCCTCGTCGCCGCCCTCGCCCAGCGGCGCGAGTTCAGGCATGAACGAGAGCGAGGTCACCGGCCCGGCGTGCAGCTCCTCGAACCAGGCCACAAGGTGGAACGAGTAGTCGTAGAACCGGACCATGCCGTCCTCGCCGCCGGTAACGATGTGATCCTTGGTGGCAATGATGACGTTGATGGCGACGTCAGAGTGCAGCTGCAATGCCTTGACCGCCTTCTTGTCTGTCGGCTTGAGGCCCTCCTCGGGGAGGCCGCGGTCCCAGAGGATGACGTCGCCGTCGACCGTCGCCGTCAGCGCCTGCTCGCCATGTGGGAGGAAGATCGAGAGTGTAAACGCGCCCATGGCGTGCTTAAACTCGGACGCCACAATGGGCGGGGCGTAAAAGTGGAGCTTGTGCTGCGAGACAAGGCCGCCGCCACTGTCGCCGTCGTCACCGCCGTCTTCGCCGGCGGTCGTCGACACTCGCTCGTCCGGCGACCAGTGCCAGAACACCACCCGCGAGTCACCGTTGGTGACCAGGCTCGTCCCTTCATGGCCCTTGACGTACTCGTTGAACGCCACCGAGAGCTGGAGGTCGGTGGTCGGCACATGCGCAAAGACCAGTGGCGCAAACGGCACCGCGTCGTCCGCGCCCACCTCGTCCGGCCCCGGCAGTGCCGCCCAGTCCCAAAGCGCCAGCATCTGCGGCGACGTCGACGACAGCGTCGCTAGGAACCGTGCACCGTGCGAGAGTCCGAGCGCAACCACGCCCGAGTTGGCAAACCCAGTCAGCGCATCCATCTGCGACTGGAAGATGGTCTTGACCGGCGTCCCGCTTGCGGCCTCCCAAACAATCACCATCGAATCGAGCCCTGTGTCGGACGTCACGATCCACTTGGCGTCCTTAGACACGCACGCCGCCGTGATTGGGTTGCAGTGGCCCTGAAGCAGCTGCTGCTGGTTGGTGTCGAGGTCGTGGATGACTCCGGTGTGGCCCGAGACGTAGAACATCGCCTGTTGCCATCGCACACACCAAACCGTCGTACCATTATGCCAGTGGCATCGTGCCAGTACCATCATGTAAGGTGAGTCGCTTTGCCCTAGCCAACGCACTCTCGCTCCCACACTCTCGCTCCCTCCCTCCCTCTCTCGCTCGCTCCCCCTCTCTTGCTCTCTCAGCGTACGTTGCGCTTGCGGGTCCGAAGCGCCTGCACACCCTGCAGGATGTTCTTGTTGAACCCATAGGTGAACGCCATGGCCAGCGCGTTAGCGTTCGGCTCACTGCTCGGTCCACTCGGCCTCTCCTCTCCGCCATCAACGTCACCTTCGCCAGCCGATAGCTGCGACGAAGACACGTTGCTCGCAACCTGTCTGCCCTGTAAGCCACGCCCAGCGCTCTCTGTGGGTATCGATGCAGATGCCGTGGATGTGGCAGATGCCGTAAATGCGGCAGATGTGGTCGAGGCCGATGCCGCAACCCTCGCCGCGCCATGAGCCGAGCCAGCCGAGCCAGCCAGCTATGAGCCGAGCCAGCCGAGCCCGGGTTAGAGGCAGATGCAGCGCTTGTGGACGATGCTGCTGAGGATGGACGATCATGACTGGTAGCGGAAGCAACCGAAGCAGAAGACTTGCTTGCCGAGGAGGATGTAGATGATGAGGAGGAGGAGGCGGAGGAGACCCTCCGTGTGCTCCCTGCAGAAGACATTGTGTAGGTCTAGCTATTTGGTCAATGTAGTGGGAGGTGGGGGTGGAGGGGGTGGAGGGGGGTGGGGTGGAGGGGTTGGGGAGGAGGGAGGTAGTTGGGTGTGGTGTTGTACGGACTGTGGTGGTGTTGAGGGGGGGGGGGAGGAGGGGAGGGGGAGGGTCAGGGGAGTTGGTCGGTTGGCGGTCACTGGTTTGGCGCCCGACCTGTCCAGACCGACGACGGCACTGACTAAAAGAGTGGCAGGCAGCAGTTGAGTGACAAAGCAATGGTGGAGGAATGAGCAACTTGGGCAGGGAATAGCTGGTTTGTTGCTTGCTTGTTGCTTGCTTGCTATGATGGTGGGTGATGAGTTTTGTGTGGAGGCGGGGGTGGGCAAAGAGGAAAGAGGGGGATCACCAGGCTGTATTCCAGTCGTCAACATCACCATCGTCGGCGACAGCGACAGCAGTCGGGGTGTTGGCAGTGGGAGAGCCCAAAGAGGAGGCTGTCGCCGTGGTTGTGGTGGTTGTCGTCGTCGTTGCGGCAGGCGCAGGGCTTGCAGCAAGGTTGGAGAAAAAGTCTGTGGTGGGATCGCTAGTGGAGGCCGGCTCTGACGACGGCGGCGGGCCGCCTAGGCCGAGTGCAGCAAGCCGAGCATCCTGCTCAGCGATCTCGACCTCGGTAACCGTCGGCGGGGCGGAGGAAGTCGACGGCTCCGGGGCCGAAACGCCCTGATCGGACGGATCGACCTCGTACAGTTCGGGGTTAGCCGCGCCCGGCTCGCCGCCCTCGCCCTGCGAGCGGGCATCGATAAAGGCCCGGACCGAGGACCATCCCTTTTGCGACGACGACTTGACCTTGGTGGCGGCAACAGTCGACTTTTCGGCAATGACCTTGGACGCCGACTTGGCCGCCACCGTAGCCTTGGCGGCAAACGACGACCAGCCCGAGGCGATCGACGAGAAGAACGAGCCACCGGATCCGTTGCCCTCGTCGGGATTATGTGTGCGCCCGTCCGAACCAAAGCCCTGCATGGCCGGCCGGGCTGCAGCCTCGCCGGCCGGCGAGTCGAGCGACGAGCCCATCGACGGCGATGGCAGCGGTGCGGGCTCGGGAATCCGCAACTGAGCCTCGGCCAGCGACCACGAGCCAGCGCCATCCGCAAGTGTCCGGATTTTGTCACGATACAACGACGCGCCCCACGATGCGTACTTGGCCTCGAGCGACACGCCCTCCATGCCCTGGAACGATGCGCAGAACTCTGTCCCGGCCAACATCAACAACCAACATCAACGACCAACATCAACGGGTCATCAGGTGAGTGATATGCCGTCGCACGCTTCCAGTACATGAGCACACACACACACACGCGCGCGCGCGTGCTCACAAGCACTCTCTTGCTCTTGCTCTTGCTCTTGCTCTTGGACACCCCACGCGCGTCGACAGGCGCGAGCATCCGATCTGAGTCTGGCGAACCTGTCGCAGCGCATTCTACGGGCGGTGATG